TTATCATTCAGGCATTTGCGCATTTACTAAATTGTACTTCTAATGTAAAATAGTCTCCCTGATATTCACAATTCAAAAGTATTTTATATGTAGGAAGTATTTTGGAACATTCAGCATCAGAATTATGCATTTCAACCAGTTTTAACATATTTTTCAATAATACTGTTTACAAATTTTGTGATTTTTATGCCGACATACACTTCTGTTTATTTATGTTTCGCATCTTAAATAATATGGGGACCTATACATTTTTTGCAATAATTGGAAAATTGAAAGTATATTAAACGAAAATAAATGCAGTTTTTGTACTTTGAACCATTAAAATTGTGAGGGTGGAAACACCTTAAATAGTGTACGTATTGATATAAAAAAAATCTTAAAGTCTTTGATTCCAGGTAAGGAAAAATAAGCACCATCAAAGTTAAAAATTAAGAGTTTGTAAGTTTGCCATAGATAAGTTACTAGTATATCATCTATCAAAATTTTAATTATCACCTATGAAACACAAAAGAAATAAGACACATATAATCGATCTGAATGACCTTGTTTTAATACCTACTAGTACGAGGGGTGATCAAAAAGTTCGAACTATCTCTATATCTACAAAACCACAATTCAGATTAGAAACATAGCCAAACACAAGTTCTATAAATAACATATGCTGAAGTTTTGTTCCTTGTTTGTGATGTCACACTCTGAAAATGACGTCATGCAGGTACTTGTGACGAAAATTCTATTTGCCCATTGTCAAAATTAAAATTTTACAAAGAAAAAAATCAACATAATTAGATATTTTATACCATCTTTAAAATGACGTTTGGTGGTCCTCTAAACTCAGGGAAAAATTATTGGGTCCGTATTTATAGGTGAGAAAGAAATTCCTTAAAATTCAAACATAATTGTTGACGGAAGAAAAAGAAAAAAAATATCATTAAAATTATGTAAAAAAAATAAAAAGAGTCGGGCCATTTGGACTAGGCAGTAGATCGGGAGAGAGGGCAACCAAATATTTTATAACAATGGTCTTATAAGGCTAGTACATATTCCATCACGTACTTAGTAATGCAAATTTTTTTTAATCTTTTGCACTATTTTGAAAAACAAACATAATATTTTCGGGGGGGGGGGGGGGCTCTCTCACTTTTTTTGCGATGATAGACATTGCATATGCAATGGACCTTTCTTTGCAAACATTGTACTCGCTTCTAAATTTCAAAGAAACAACTTAATATATTTTATCAAGCTTCGTATGTTCAATGAGCGTGAGCTTACAACGTTGTCAACATAATGAGACATGATGCGTTTTTATGTCCAAACATTACTCCATACAATGTGTTGGTCATTGCAAACAATCTAGCTATTTATGTGAGGTGCCTGAAGGAAATCCTATAACTGCCTATTTTTTCTATCTAACTTCTAAACAAAATATACATATGTACCAATTTTCGAATGTAAGACGTGTAATTACAATTTGTTTTTCATGCACCGCATATTGTTTAACATTTTCAAATTAAATGCTAAGCATCCTCCTTGCAGTGCCCCATTTGAAAATAACTTCTATCGCCACAGAAAAAAGACCCCCGTAAACACATATGTTTAGGACATTTATATCTTTTTTTCTTGAGTTTTAAAGAAACCAACAAATTATCAAGACTTGTTCCATGAAAAATTAAATATAATCATGGTAATAAACGGATCTATCCACAGCAGATATATGCACATGCCAACCAAGTGCTCAGTGGAATAATTTTATCGAGGAAACTCGAACTGTAAACAGAACAGTTTTTCCCGATTTGCTGGAGTGGGGTTAAAATTGCGTTTTTTCATTAATCAGATGATGCGATGCAACAAATAAAAGTAGTAAGTAATATAACCTATTGATTATTACTTAGTAATTTCTTGTCTTGATGTTATTATGGTCGCATTTATTATAAAATCAATGTTATTCGAACTCTGTGTGACAGAGGAATGGCGGACAAAATAAACACATTGCCTCAGGAAGACACCCATATGAAAAATCAAATTTTCAAGAATTATGGATAATGACAAGAAAAAAGCGAAACAAATGATTGTAGCCATATTATCAATGAATCAAACTTACACCATTTTCAAGGCATTTATCATCTCGTAAATGCTGTAGCTGCGCAGTTCTAACATGATTAATTTCCTCCTAATTAAAACAGAATAAACTTAATTGTTTACTAATTTTGGTCTCTAACAGTAGGTAATTAATGCATTAGCACTTTGAGTAACTTTGGGCTAGTTTAGTGGAGTATTAAGCGCATTCTTGGTATTTCTTATTTTACACCAGACTAGATCCAATATGGCTTGTACATCCCCCTTAAGGGTACATGTATAACATTCAAATTCATGTGTAGGGGTCCTTCCTTTATATCTTTAAATCCAGAATGACCGTCAATTTTAAATTGTTATTCGAATGTCTGTTGCGCATGCTAATATCAGTATGGGTTGCAAATATATGCAAGTTAAGGTAATTTAATTATATTTAAACTTTTATGCAAACCATGTCCAGATGTGCTGCTCTAAGTCCAGATATAATATACATGTAGTTTGCAGACGCTTTATTATGTTCCCCAAACGAAGGTGGGGAACATATTGTTTTTACTCTGTTTCTTATTATTATTATTCCTGGGAAAATTTTGTCCTTGAGTGATCTTAAACTACACATCCGAGTAAGGTAAAATGTTTTTAGGGTCAGTAGACATGTTATGTAGATTTGCCGAACAAAGGTCATTTTGCGCGCACGTGCTTGCAAGAGCGCGCACGTGCAACACGAAAAATGACGATTTAATTGATATCGGTGTAACTTTTTACATTTTTGATGAAATGCTTTGAAACTCATAATATAAGGATATATTAGTAGCATAGACAACAAGACATGGTCAAAATAGCAAGATCTCACGCGCATGCACGTGCGCTTCGCTCTGATTGGCTGAAACTAAAGTCTCAATATCTTTCTTGTTTTTTGATGAAATCCTTTGAAATTTTGAACATAGCCATGCATTAGGATATCCTACAAAATGATATATAAAAATTATCATGAAAACACGTGCATGCACGTGCGCTGCAATCTGATTGGCTGAAACTTTAAAATAGCTATAACTCCCTTGGTTTTCAACCAAACAGGATGTGATTTGGAACATAGATAGATATAATAGACTTCTACAAGAAGGTATGGTCACCATGCACATCCATACACGTGCGTGTACGTGCGCTGCAATCTGATTGGCCGAAACGTTAAATAGCTATAACTCCCTTAGTTTTCAATTAAACAGGATGAGATTTTGAACATAGATAGATATAATGGACTTCTACAAGAAGGTATGATCACCATGCACATCAATACACATGCGTGAACGTACGCTGCAATCTGATCGGCTGAAACTTTAATCAGCTATAACTCCCTTGGTTTTCAACCAAACGGAGTGGGATTTAGAACATAGATAGATGTACTGGACTTCTACAAGAAGGTATGTCACCATGCTAATGTATGCACGTGCGTGCACGTGAAATGAATAAAATCAAAAATACACTTGAATGAGCGTATTTTTTAATACTTTTGGATTAAATACTTTAATATTTAGTATATTAAAGTATACAGATTGTGTAGAAAAGATGATATGGTCATTACGCACATGCATTCACATGCGCACGCGTGCAGTGCTAAATTTGAATGAACTTGGTACCCTTCTGGGTAAACGTTGTTAAAGTCTCAAATGCATAAAGTTTGTCTTATTTAATGAAGCTTACAGGGAATATGGCACCAAAAGGGAGATGGGGAGCGTTTGGGGAACATCTGTAACGGTCCCCGTTACAATTAGCACTAGTTTCTGGTATCTTAAACGTTTCTCCCTCGTTTCCTCACTGCATCCACATCATCTCCGGAACCCCCACCCCACCCCTTCTCCCTCATTTTGTCCTTCATATACACACACATTTCCTTTTGTGTGATTCTTTTTGCCTCTCCTTTGATCTTTCTACCTCCTACTCCTTCCTTTTCTTCATACTTTCTCTCCACGTACAATTTAAAAGCTGTTACACACTACACAGGCTGCATACAGCCTTTAAAGAAAGTGTTCAATTTCCTCTCTGTGATTGATTTTATCGTAAGATGATAGTTCATCATGAGCATGCATTGGAAACTACCTTCAAGTTATGATCGAGGACGACCTTAAAAGACGGGGCTTCTCCTCTTCTCTTCAACCACTGAATGAAATTTAATGAGACGTTCGGAGATTTTACATTACAGTGCCTTTGCACCTCCTTTATTCTGATCTGTCATCTATTTGGGGTCTCCCATAAAAATATGGTCTTTGTCATCATAATTATTTGGGAGGCGGGGGATCATTTTTTTTTGGTCTGTGCTCACAGTACCTCTGCTTTAAAAATGTGTTTTGTTATTCAATAATTCAACTAATTTGTAAATATTTGAAAACAAGTTATCTTCATGTATTTTCATTTGTTGATGCTGGGTTTTTTCGAAACACTTCCTCTTATGCGTCTTTGTCATTTACTGTTGTTAATTGACCCATTATTTGACACTTAGTCTTGTACATGTATGTACACGTGATTGCTAACTAATGAGAAACATGCTGAAGCAGCATGTTCCCCAATGGAATGAAACGTATTTCACGGCATTTCATTCACTCTCCAATAATAACAAGAGGCCCGCGGACCTTATAGGTCAAATGAGTATCATGCAATTGAATTTGGTTCGTGATTTAAACCAGAGGCCATAAAATTCACAAAGAAAAAAGAGGCACCATTGCTTATCATAACCATACACTTAGCTCTACTTTGGTTAATTAATACCAATCAGAGTAACAGAGTGGCCCTGGGGCCATTTATTTCAAGATTTTGGATATTTTGTCTTAAAATTTTATTTCACTATAAAGGGTTGATTAGATTCCTTGATCAGCTTGCAGGTGATGCGAGTTACATAACAAAAATTTCTAAAGATCAAGATTCATTAGCTGAAATTCCGAGAAAACAAACTACTCTTTCAAATCTGACATGCATTAAGGATGAAGGATTTCATTTTTTCCTGAATTTAGACCAACAAATCCAACAGCTAGAAACATTTGAAAATTTGAACTTGTATGGCCAGAACTTTTACAGTTACATCTACTCTAGCTTAAAAGAAAGTAAGGACTTAAAGAAATCTTGGTTGACTCTATTTCATGATGAGGATGAAATGAATGTTAATGACTATCAAGAAAGTCTTGAAAACATGTACATTGAAGTTCTTACAAAGTATATCAAAATGTCCTCCGCACAGTTCCGCCAGGAATACAAAAGAGAGCTAAGAGTACAAAAAGAGGAGGCTCATAGAAAACAGATCCGAATGCGAACAGACAAAGCAAATAAACAAAAGCTGGATTTCAATTTTATCATTGTTGATGAAAGCGATTGCAAGATGAAATCTCATTTGCGCCTCCAAAATGAGTTGTTAGACAATGACAGTTTCTTACAAGTATTTACCAAATCAAATGTGATGCAGTTATGTAAAGCATATAATCTGAGTATTTCAAACAGGATGACAAAAAAATGAGTTATGTGCATCTTTAAAAAAATCCATCCAAGACCAAGATAAAATGCCAAACTCAGCAATACTAACAACTGAAGCAGGAGAGAAAGTCACATCTGAAGAAACATTCTCTGTACAGGGTCAATCTACATCACACGAAGATAATTTAGTCAGACCAGGCCCATCAGGGGGAGGTAATTCAATTTCTTTATCACATTCATTCTCTTAACATATAGAGGCCCATAGATTGACAGGCAGGCATTCATCTGCTTAATTATATTAATTAACTGCACTATCCTATTTTGGTACACAAGTTTATTTTCTATTGAAATCTCATATAGATGTAAATCACTACTATTATTTAATACACTGATATTGATCAATACACCATTTTAAAGAATGAAATTTTTAACTGATTTTAACAGGCATTTTGTCAAATTACATGCTAAAAGTTAATAAATATTTTTTTCTTTACCGTTTTTTTTTAAATGCTCATCAGTTAAATTTTTGAATTATAGAAGACACCACCCAAAAATCTAATCCAAGAAGAGGCAGGAAAAGGAAGAGGAGACAAGGAGGTAAAGGGAAGAAGAAGAAAACTGTAGACCAGCAGCTGAGTGATGTTTACATGTGTGGAATATGTGACCAGCAATGTGACAATGAGTGTGTTTGTTGTGATATATGTGATACATGGTATCATTTCATTTGTTTACAGGTTGATGGGGATGACGAGGAGTTTAATTCTGACTGGTATTGCAATACTTGTAAAAATAATTAAATTGCCTGAACACATATATTGCATTTGTCTCATGTTTGTTTACTGTAAAACAATTAAGGCAATTTGATGGGAGCAAATTCAATGAAGAGGAGTTTATAATTTGTCATTCTTACTGATGTTAATATTTGAACTTGAAAAAAAAAACATATGGCCCATGGCCATTCTGATCGTGCTACCCGACCATATTAAGTAATATTGATAATGCATATCATACAAGGATTATTAATTTTTTTCTACATATATTTTAGGCTCATATATAATGTGTTATTTCAGACTATCAAGTATCAAAGTTAACACTTAACTTATTGCTTTCTTGAATTTGAATCACTAAGAATTGATTGAGTCTGAATTAAGGACTCTCGATCTGTGCATCGTCAGTGTAAAATGTTTTTTTGAGATTGAGAAAAATATGTTCTATAAAGGTATTATTTTTGAGCTTATGTATTTATTTTTCACCATATGGTACTTGACATTTACCCCCCCCCCCCCCAGGAATAATAATCAAACACAACAGTACAGTATAACAGTATACTTAGCTTAGTGAATAGAAATCACAGGTGTTTACTTCCAAGAAGAAAATACATGTAAACAAGGGCAGTGGAAGTTAAAGTAAATAGCATGTGCATACTATATATTTACATTAACTTCCAGTGCCCGTGTTTGTAAAAAATGATTTATCTTGGACTTGAAAAATGTTAAGAAGATGAATACTTGAATTAATAACAAAATGTGTAATGATATACTGTGAATTTCTATTTTTTAGAATAGAGATCTAAGGGCTGATCACTCTAACTGCAGAAAAATCAGAACTCTTTAGTGTGCAGTGTAGAGAGGGTTCTTAAATTATTGCTAAATTTAATATATAGTTATATTATATTTATTCAGTATATTTGATTCTAGTATGCCTTGGTTATAGTTATACCGTACTGCAATTCTCCATTATTCATACAGTTAACTTTAAAAGGCTTAAATATTTAAAATGCGACCAACTCTTTATAAACGTTAAACATACCATGACAAAATAAATTGTTTCTGGTTACACATGTTCACATAATTATTTGAATATGCCGCTTCATATCTATCCAGCTGCCATCTAGTGACGGGAAAAAATATTAAATTTTATTTTATTATTGACCAATCAGAACTAGCGAAATTCTTAGGCACTTGGGGGTATAAAAACATCTTTTTCTTCGAAGGAACGGCATTGGAGCGGGACGAAACGGTACATATATTGATAGTAAGTTATATGTGAACTATAAATCGCGTCAAGTCTTCTGAGAAAGGCCCACAATACCTCAAACCCGAATTTGCCTCAAAAAGAGTGTCCTACCCTTCTTTTTTTATACATACACATACTATATATTTACATTAACTTCCAGTGCCCGTGTCCTTCCTCACTATCTCCACGTACATAGTTCCTCGTTTTAAAACCTAGGAGTAGAGGAAAAGAGTTTAAAGAATTTATGCATTTTCACTATTTAATCAATAGAACCCCGTCCTAACACCTTAGGTCATTAAGTTCGCAATTTGGGAAGAGGCGGCCTATTTGTAACATATTCGTTACAACAAGATATCTCGAGATGCCTTTTAGCTATTGCAATGAAATTTGACACAACCCCCCCCCCCCGGTCTAAGGAAGACCCCTATTGATTTTGAGGTCAAAACCTCAAGGTCATGAATTCATAACAAGATGTGTTTATTGTGTCTCTTAGTTCAAGGTCAAAAATATTTATATCAGCTGAAAGGTCTTGTCACAATAAATATACATGTGAAGCATGAAAGCCCAAGCTCCAACTGTTTACACGTTATGGCCAACGTTAAATTGTGTTATTTTTTGTAAAAATAGGTCAGTCTCCAAGGTTAAATTTAGTAGTGCCTAAAGAAAAGTCTGTTTAATGTAGAATAGGTTTATAAAGGAACAGAGATATCAAATATGTCATATTGATAATTAGCGAATGCTTAGATGCATTTGATTTCAGTTCCTTGTGGTAAAACAACCACTGCAATCCCTTAGCTCATTCAAATCAATTTAAATAACTTAATATTCTCTCTCTTTCTCTCTACATCACGTTTATTAGACATTGCAAGATGTGCTTCTTTAGAGGTTGTCGTAGAACTCTCCAGAAAGGTGTGAAAGTTTATGTAATCATGAAATGTTATAACAAATTTATATTCTTTCATGAGAAATAATTTTATAGTCCAGTGAAAACTTACTCCTGTTTTATAATTAATCTTCAAAAAACTTACGCTTTCTTGGGGGAAAACTTGCACAGTGCAAAAATAAACAGATTTAATGATTATCTAATGCCAATTAGAAAGTATTAAAAGTCTCAGCTGTGAATTTGTTATTTAACACCCCCTCCCCGATAATATTATCACACATATGAGAACGCCACCAATTGCCATTGGAGAGCTACAAATTTCCCTCATACTTAGCGCTCAAGGCCCTTGACGAGTGCGGGATCGTTCTCGTGCCAGCAGCAACCTACCGCGACACAGGACCTCGGTTTATACGGTCTCATCCAAGGACCAGTTTCCACATCCCACAGTGTGTAATAAGGATCAACTTCAAAATCCGCTACTTTAGAGCAGATGCTCTAACCACTGCGCCACGCGAGAGACTCCTAACTTTAGAACGTTTATTAAACTCTTGTTGACCTTACTCCAGTACTAATTTTCAGTGTAGAATATCTTCCTTAGGAAGATTTAGTATTGATCGGCTAACTAAGTTTTGACTTCCTAACGTCAATTTTTTTCATTATCATGTCTTATATAAGATTCATGTATTGCAATCACTCCAACCCACGTCTTTGATTTCAGAACCGATGCTGAAACTTGATTGTCCAATGAACATTCAACAGGAATTTTACACAAAAAATCTAATAGGTTTGATGATATATAAACGGAGACACTTTCAATTTTTCGTAATAAACAATCATTGTTCATGATGGGTAATGGGAGTGACTTGGGAGAGAATTGCACTCATATCAATAACTCTGTTAGCATTCCTGAACCCCCTCAATATATTTTGGTCATTGCCAGTGTTCTCTACTCGGTAATCTTCACTGCTGGATTCGCATCAAACACGTCTGTCGTGGTGGTTGTCGTGATTGCTAGGCGGATCCAGTCACGAATGAGCGCCCTCTTTGCTAACCTCAGTGTTGCTGATTTGATGGTACTCATCGTCTGTATACCCTCGGCTGCAGTTGATCTTTTTGCAAAAGAAGTATGGTACCTTGGCGAATTTATGTGTAAGCTAACCTGATTACATCATTTATTATTGTAATAACTCCGACTTAAAAAGTGGGGGAAAATCTTTATTATTCCAAGCTAAAATGATATTTATTGAAACTTACCTCGCTAAAACAATGGCAGCAAATGTTGTTGATTATATTATTATGGATTTGACAAAGTGAGTCATGAGAGAGTGTAAAGAGATTTCTTGTTCGTAAAATGTACAATTACTTTTTTCTTACCTCCATTATTTCTATTTCAGGTCGGTTTGTTCCATTTGTAGAACACCTCGTGTCTTTGGCATCTGTGCTCACGATAGTTGCCATCACATATGATCGATATCGCGGCATATGTTTTCCACTCAATTCCCCCTGTTTTTGGACCAAGTTAAAGGTTAAATCTGTCATCACTTTGATATGGACAATTGCCGTAACAGCAAGTATCCCGATAGCGTTCATTGCCGTTTATCGCGACTCAAGGTTCGTCGATGGGACCCTCATTAAAGTATGCAGAATGCCAATAAATACACTGTGGAAGAAAATTTACATAGTTGGACTATTTTCGGTATTTTTCATCCTCATGCTTTCTTTACTACTCTTCTTTGTTGCCCGTATGTGCAGAAAACTTATTTGGCATGTTCAGTTTTTGGAAACGCGAACTGGACAAGATGCCAACAAAATGGCTAACGGAAGACGCCGTGTGATTTGCATGCTAATTCTCGTTATTACTACTTTTTTCTTATGTCTGTTGCCACAGAGGATACTGGGGATTTGGCTCATTTTCGTCCACCCATCAGAACTTTTTAAATTAGGATTAGAAGGCTATTTGAATTTGATCACTTTTACACGGATAATGTTATACATTAGTAGCGCATTAAACCCGATAATATACAATATTTTGTCGAAAAGGTTTCGGTGTGCTGTAAGGGAGATGTTACCATGTGGATACAAGCGTCATAAATACGATTCAAATTCTCTTGCTCTGGTTAAGGTTATGTCAATAGTAAACGTGCAGTTGCTTCCCTCTGCTTTAAAAAGACGACACTCAACGTTAGACAGATATAAAATTTCTTGTAAAAGAGATACCATACTTCATAGTGAGGTTAAAATATATCGCGAGAAAGAGACATTTCTTTGAATTATTTTTACAATTTTATCTGGTAGATGTAATTCACAATACTTTCATCTCTCAATTTTATGGAAATGAATGTTTTTAGCTTTATTTATTACAATATCCCCCCTTCCCCCAAGAAAAAAAAATAAAAGAAGTTTCGGGTGAATTGGAATCACTTTGTCCGTTTGTCTCTATAAATGTTTATTTGAAGGTATTACCTTTAAAAGATTTCAATGTATATACCTTCTTTCGAAATTGTAGGTGAATCAAGTTATTTCTTGTTTGGGTATCTCAAGGAGACTCGATTTACACAGATGTAGCAATCTCGAAGTCATTTTGGGCATGACCGTAGGGTAAATAAAAAGGGTGACGCTTTTAAGATGACTGACAATGATATATCCAAAACCATCTATTTACAAACCAGAACTAAGAAGGGACATAATCATGGTTTGACGAAGTAGATCTCCAGAGCTTTGAAGGAGCTAATTCCTGAGTCTAAGGTTGCGCGTGACCCAGATGTGTTGTTTTACTTAATCAGGATTATATTGAAAAAAAGGTTCAAGCTGTACAGGATTCGTAAAAGGCATTGGTGCGCCGTATTCGATGGGACTCTCGCTATTTACGAGGGCCGCAATATAAAGCCGCTTATTTAGTCAATTTTCAGTATAATTAACCGTCTTCGATGTACACAGACTTATGCTATACAGCATTGGTTAGCGACAAAAATAACTGTGTACTTCTTCTAATGCAACAGGGAAAGATACAATAGCACAGGCCAGTGCAGTAAACTAACAAACAAAATTACATAACTGCAATAAAATGTTAACAAAGGTAATGCAAGATAATCAGCACGAACACGGGTCCTCATTCCACGCCAAAAACCGTAACACTGAAGTGGTCAGGTGTGAAAAAAAATCGAATGCGAAGATGATACCCTGGTGCTGAATTTGTATAAAGTATCAAAAATGGCGTATGCGATTAAAATGAAATATCTATGTAAAAGTGGGATCAAAACAGAAAAAAATAATTTATCTATCCTCAGTAAGCATTGCGTGTAAATTAATTATGTTCATTATCATAATTTATGGCAAGGCCAAGTATCAATAATAAAATTAAAATTTGTGAAAGTGCAATGTATCAATCAAACTCGTGTCCAAAAATTTGAAGTTTCAATAACTTTGATATGAAATAAGAATTTTAATACACATCGAGAAAATACTACCTTTGCACCTTTAAGTAGTGTTTTTATTCATCCAGTTATTAAAGTTAGGAAAAATCCTGTCATGAAAATTTGCAGTTTATCTTATAACACAATGGAAGTAGCTGAGGATTTTTCTCTTTTTTGACATTTTAAAATGCCTTTTACTGGTTCCCTTACAGGGGGTTTCGTCCGATAACTACAGGACAGGTGTAGTTCAAATCTGAGCATTCTCATTGATACATAAAGCAGTTACTGCTCTTTGCTCAGATAAACTATTGGAATATTACATGTATATTTATTTATAAACTTCTTAATTTAATGTTGGTATATTTATTTTTGAATCCCGGAATTTGCCACTGCTAGATCTAACAGCAATAAATGTATGCTGCGGTGGGGGTGGGGTGTAAGAATCTAAATAACCAGAAGTCTCTGATGAGACTGTAGCTCTACTGGTCTGTATTCTGTATGTATAACAAAGGAAAAGTAGCATTTGGATTTGAAACTTTGCAACAGGCAACAGTAAATAGAATCATGCAACACCGTTCATCCAAATCAAAAACCGATATAAAGAATTATGTATTTTAGTGTAGTCTACTTGTGTGCTAAGTTATATTGACATCAGACCAAAAGACAATGATTAGAGACAAGATTGTATTTGAAAATGAAACTTTAGTTTAATAAAATTAGAAGTTAAACTTTATAACCATATATTGTTTTCAATAAACAACTTTAAAAAAAATTGACAGGGCCTACTTGGCATATCACAAATGTAAATTAATCTTTAAAAAAATGTGAAAGAATTAAAGCATTAAATACTGTCAATCCGTTTCTCCAATGAACTATTAACCATGTGATGTGGGGACAAATACATTGTTCCCTATTTGTATATTGCTAGAGTCTGATTCTACATTGAAACATGTCTCTTTAAGCAAAGTGTCTGGCGTAAAACACTTGGTAGACATTTCACAGGACATCTGAGATTCAGGCGAAGCAGAACAACATGAACAATATGAAAAAGGTGAATTAAAGCACTCTGTTGCTTTTGGTGATTGACAAATAAACATATGCAAGTCCTTGTAGCAATCCTCAATGTTCTTGGTAAACTCATAAAATTCAACTAACTTGTATCCAAATCTTTCAAATAATCTACAAAGACACAAAGATAGTAACTGTTTACAAATTCTTCACTATTAATTTTACTAATCATTTTTAGGCAGTTTTGGTTGTAGGCAATCCATTAACTTTCCCATTAGATTCATTTTTACCTCGTGTTGTTTTTTTGAAACCTCCAACCTTTCTTTCCTGTATTCCTCTTGTCTTTTTGTGTAAGGCAAGAAATGCAGACTGATTATTATTCCTACGTTTGAGGGATTTCTTTGGTTGTGGAGTGCTGCTATCCGATGAATTAGAATCTCTGGAATCCTGTCCTTCATCATCATCAACTTTTTAATTTTCTGTCTTGTTGTTTTGTCGCACTCTTGAAGACAATGTAAATGCTGGTCTCGTACCACTTTTGTTTCCATAGAGCTCAGAAAATTGTTCAAAAATTGGCATGTTTTTTTTTCTCTGATCCTGTCTGTGCATTATTGTCCACCGTTTTCTTATATTCCCTTTTAAGCGCCTTCCCCTTATTCATGCACTGTGTTGCTGATGCTGTAACACCAACAGCAGATAATTCCTAGGCAATGGTTTCCCAAAGAGACTTGTGCACTTTGTTACTGTTAAAGTCTTTCTCCATTCTACTTCTGATATCGAATAATGTTTTAGTGTCTTGTTTATTCCACATTTTTTGGTCCAGTGACTCAGATTCTGCACTGCACTGCACTGCACTGCACGATTTTGCATCAGAGGATTCTGCGCAGTCATTTGAAAAATGAGCAAGTGCATTATACCTGAGAATATTTGATATGCGGTTGAAGTATGTAGATTTTCTGCCTAACCATTTTAGAAATTAAAAGTAATGGAAAAGGTTTTCTCACTATACAGCATATTTTAATAGTTTGATCAAAGATATTTTAAATACTTATACTTAATGTAATACATGTTCCTGGAAAATACATTTGTAGTGCATCATCAATACCAATTTCAAACACACACACAGAATAAATGAAAGAAAAAGTGAGCTAGCTCACATACCCCACGCTCCCCCATAACTTGACGGTGAAACACATTTAATGAAAGGCACAGTGCACTTTAAATACATAGTATAGATCAAAAAGGGCAATAATTGCAAAAAATCTTCACATCAAAATGTCTTGCATATGAGGACATTTAAATGTGGAATAAAGTTTCTAGATAAATTATGGAATCAAAATTTCTTGACAATATACAAATCCACACATTAATTTGAAGTGGGGGGGGTGAGAAATTTTCTTGAATATTAGGCAAAACTCTTTGGGATAAAATAATGGAATATGTCCTAAATATCAGCATAGGTTGACGAAACTATGTACAACAGTTTAAGAGGAGTGGTGCTAACAAACTGTTCATCTCTATATTCAAAATATGGCAAAAAAGTCTAAGTTGAAAAGTGTGGAAATTCCCGGAAAAATAAAGGAATCGGAATTTCCTGGTAATATGCACATCTACATATTGTGTCCTAAATATCTGCAAAGTTTAACGAAATTCTGTACAGCGGTTTATGAGGAGTTGCGCTGACAAACTGTTCATCTCTATATTCAAGGTATGGCCAAATGCCTAAGTTAAAAGTGCGGAAATTCCTGGAAAAAATAATGGAACCGGAATTTCCTGGTAATATGCACATCTACACATTGTGTCCTAAATACCTGCAAAGTTTGACGAAATTCTGTGCAGCGGTTTATGAGGAGTTGTGCTGACAAACTGTTCATCTCTATATTCAAAGTATGGCCAAATGCCTAAGTTAAAAGTGCGGAAATTCCCGAAAAAATAAAGGAATCGGAATTTCCTGGTAATATGCACATCTACACATTGTGTCCTAAATACCTGCAAAGTTTGACGAAATTCTGTGCAGCGGTTTACGAGGAGTTGCGCTGACAAAAAAAGAGGACTGACTGACGGACTGACTGACTGACGGACGGACCAGTCAAAAACATTATACCTCCCGCAACTAGTTGCGTGGGGTATAAATACTAATAAATATATAACTGCTTACCCATATTACAACTTGCTCGTATGAGTTGTAGTGCCAGATCTCTTTTTCTTTGGTCTGTTAATATTAAAAGAAATGTTTTATCATTGCTCTAAATACGAAACTTACAAAACAGCAGGTACGAAATAAATATACTTACCGTCTGGGTTAAGTGATTCTACAAGATGGCAGTCTCCTAGGATCTGAACATCTTCCCCATCAATTTTCATGGATATCAAAAACCTGAAAAAAAATAATGATGATTTAAATGGAATGTTATGTTGAAAACCACTTAAAATTTACGGGAATAATAAGCGTTATGAACTGGATTTGGCTTCATAATAATATAAATATATAATAATTATAAACAACAAATCATAGGCGTCGGAACAGGGGGGGGGGGGGGGGGGGGGGGGGGATTAGCCTCCTTTTTGTCCCCCGCTTGAAAAGTGGGGGATATTAATTTGGGTTTGTCCGTCCGTCCGTCTGTCCGTCCGTCCGTCCGTCTTTCTGTCTGTCTGTAACGCTTTCGTTTCCACACGATATCTCGAGAACCCTTTGAGCTTTTGCAATGAAATTTAGCATAGCAACTCCCTGTAGACTAAAGAAGACCCCTATTGATTTTGAGGTCAAAAGGTCAAAGGTCAAGGTCATAAATAAGCAAATTCTGTCTGTTAAAACACTTTCGTTTCCACACGATATCTCTAGAACCAC